CTGAAACTTACCCATCAACTTGCACCTTATGCCCTCTAACATAGTTAAAATTGGCTGACTTCTCAAATTTCCTAACCAATTGTTGAAGGACTTTGTCATGTTATTTGTGATGTGATCACTTCTAATCCTACCATCAAATACATGCCTAGACCTTCCTTCAACTGGAACCTTCTGCAACCAAATGCAAGCATCATTGTTCAGGTCCTTAATGGCTTGCATAGCCTGATCATACTCCATCTGATTGTAAGCCCTTGCTGCTCTCCAAAATTGCTTCCTCAAAATTAAACCCGGAAATTTGGCTCTGAAATTGTTATATAGGTGCATACAACATCTTCTATGAGTTGCCTCCGGTATAATATCACTCACAATCTTATCAAGGCCCTGCATATAAAAACAATGAAACATTACTAAGCATTACAAGTTTAAAATTAGAGAATCATTTGTAATTATGTAAGTAAAGTAGTTGTTGAATATGTCAGTAAAGTACCTTTTGTTGATCAGACATGATGGTCCATGGTCTAGAAGGTAGTGCATCTTCTATGATTGTTCTCAAGTTGTGCAAGAAAAAAGACCAACTATCCTTGCATTCACCCTCTACTATTGCCAATGCCAATGGAAACAAGCCATTATTTCCATCCAAAGCAACTGCTGAAATTAAAACACCACCATAGGGACCCTTCAAGTGACAACCATCTACCCCTATGAATGGCCTACATCCATTAATGAACCATGCTTTCATTGCATCAAATGATATGAAAATTCTTTGAAACAATGGATATTGAGGAATGGTAGGGTCTGGTTGTTCTCCATCTTCTGAAACTGGGGTAGAGGGTATGTCATAATTTATGACAACCAAGCTGCCAGGGTTTGTTTTGTTGATTTGACTAGCATATGTTGGCAACAACACATATTGGCTCCCATGATCACCCTCCAGCTCCTCCTTGCACCTCCTTTTGGCTCTATACAGTTGCATTCTTGAAGCCTCAATCCCAAACATTTTATTCAGTTTCATTTGCATGGTATCTAAGCCCATGTGTGGATTGTCCTTAAAACTTTCAACCATTTTTTTAGCAATCCAAGCTGATGTAGCTTCAGTGTTTGTGTTCATCCTGCTACATGTGTGAGTAGGTACTAAGGTTTTAATCTTGTAGGTGATCCCATCTGGAAGTGGAGATGCATGAATTCTCCAAGGGCAGCCCTCAGCAGCACAATGGGCTGTTACTCTAGACTTCTCATTTTTGTCTCTTACTATCTTGAAACCAGTTTGCACTGTATAGTCCCTTAATGTAGCCCTAAAAGTATTCACTTCTGGAAAAATCATCCCTTCTTCCAACACAACTTCTCCATCTTGATTCATATATGGCTCTTTCCCATTGTAGGTACCATCATACTTCATGCCTGGAAACCTCATCTCTTCATCATCTAGACAGTCTGCTTCATCATCATAATCATCATCAGTACTAGAATATGGCACTTCATCATCACCAGATTGGTAATCACTAAGTTCAGCATCATCACTTGAGCACTCATTATCATCATCACTCAAAATCTCATTGGCATCTGATTGGTTTTCATCCTCAGCAGTTGCATTCCAATCCCTATCCTCATCACTAAACCCATAAACATTGTCCTCATGGTACTCTTCATCTACATCTACAGTATGGTAGCCTTGCTCTACATCTACAGCATCTACTCCATGATTTTCATTTCCAACATTACTTTTATGTCCACCATCACTCATTCCAATAGAATATTCTATGTTTACATACAAGTTAATTGTTTTACTCCTTCCTTGCACATAAAACATGTCTAGCACATCAAGATCATTTTCTACTAATCTCCTTCTGTCAGTACCAGGCATATCACAATGCAATGTGATTGCTATTGCTTCACTACAAGAAATGTGAGACAGGACTGTTGCAGTTACATCCTTCAAGGCATCAATGTAGCAATACATATTTGGGTCCACATCAAACACTCTTCCCACTTTTCCTTTGTAGTTGATGATTAAATCAAAATAAGGAAATGCAGCCATACTGTAATCATAATGATGTACCAATTATAAAATAAAATAAGCAAGCCCATACAATGACAAATTGACAAGAAAAAGAAGAAAAATGACGTAAAAATTAACTCAGTACTCAACAATTAACTGAAGAAAATATGCAAACATGAAGAAATCCGTAAATTACACTATAATTATACTAATATTAAACAATCATAAGTAAAACCCAACAAATCAGAAATTCATTCTAAACATACATCTCCTGAATAACACCCAGAAAATCATAAATTCATAAATTTTCAACAAATTCCCTGTATTCGAATCAGAAATTTTGCAAATCAAATAAAAGCCCTCAACATTGCAAATCAAATAAAAGCCCTAAACATTGCAAATCAAATAAAAGCCCTAAACATTGCAAATCAAATAAAAGCCCTAAACATTGCAAATCAAATAAAAGCCCTAAACATTGCAAATCAAATAAAAGCCCTAAACATTGCAAATCAAATAAAAGCCCTAAACATTGCAAATCAAATAAAAGCCCTAAACATTGCAAATCAAATAAAAGCCCTAAACATTGCAAATCAAATAAAAGCCCTAAACATTGCAAATCAAATAAAAGCCCTAAACATTGCAAATCAAATAAAAGCCCTAAACATTGCAAATCAAATAAAAGCCCTAAACATTGCAAATCAAATAAAAGCCCTAAACATTGCAAATCAAATAAAAGCCCTAAACATTGCAAATCAAATAAAAGCCCTAAACATTGCAAATCAAATAAAAGCCCTAAACATTGCAAATCAAATAAAAGCCCTAAACATTGCAAATCAAATAAAAGCCCTAAACATTGCAAATCAAATAAAAGCCCTAAACATTGCAAATCAAATAAAAGCCCTAAACATTGCAAATCAAATAAAAGCCCTAAACATTGCAAATCAAATAAAAGCCCTAAACATTGCAAATCAAATAAAAGCCCTAAACATTGCAAATCAAATAAAAGCCCTAAACATTGCAAATCAAATAAAAGCCCTAAACATTGCAAATCAAATAAAAGCCCTAAACATTGCAAATCAAATAAAAGCCCTAAACATTGCAAATCAAATAAAAGCCCTAAACATTGCAAATCAAATAAAAGCCCTAAACATTGCAAATCAAATAAAAGCCCTAAACATTGCAAATCAAATAAAAGCCCTAAACATTGCAAATCAAATAAAAGCCCTAAACATTGCAAATCAAATAAAAGCCCTAAACATTGCAAATCAAATAAAAGCCCTAAACATTGCAAATCAAATAAAAGCCCTAAACATTGCAAATCAAATAAAAGCCCTAAACATTGCAAATCAAATAAAAGCCCTAAACATTGCAAATCAAATAAAAGCCCTAAACATTGCAAATCAAATAAAAGCCCTAAACATTGCAAATCAAATAAAAGCCCTAAACATTGCAAATCAAATAAAAGCCCTAAACATACATCTCATAAATAAAATAAAAAAAATCAGAAATTTATATTAAATCCCACGGATGGCAGATTTGAGATTCTTTTGGCCGCAACCGAACCGCCAAACCGCGAGCACCCCTAATAATTTATAAGACTTTATGTTTTTAATTTGTTTAAATATTTTGTTTGTGTTTTCAATTGAAAAAGAGTTTAAATATTTTGTTGAAAATTTTTTTTTAACTTGAATATATTTTTTGAATTGAAAAAAATAAACGTATTATTTATCTATATTTTTTGGTTTTTAAATTTAATTCTAAAAATAATAAATAAAAAATATGATATATGTTGATTAGTTTTTGTTTTCAAAAACATATATAGATATAACAATACAGAGATATACAATCTCTACTACTGCCCTGTTCATGGTTTTAGTAGTTTGAATTGTTATTATATTTTAAGAACCACAGATTATAATATTTTATGTAGATGAATCATACTGTGATTGTAATATGTGGATGAATCATGCTGTGATCGTAATATGTGGATAAGTCATGCAGTGATTGTGATACTTTAAAGTTTTAAACTTTCTTTTTTTCGATGAGACATACAGTGATTGTAATAGTTTTTTAAGTCATTGATTGTAATACTTTTTTTTTTTTTTGAGGAAGTACACAAGTTGAATTATGTTGAAAATTTATAAAATCTTAAACCGCCAAACCGATTCCCATCCATCTGCCAAACCGTCAATCCGCTCAATCCACATCCGCCGAATTGGCGGACGAATGCGGATTGATTTTCTCCAATTCGCCAATCTGGCAGACGGATGGTGGATTGGAGGTTCCGTGGCCGCAACCGACCTGCGCCCACCCCTAGGAACAGGCTAATTTAATAATTTTTTGACTTTTTACGAAAAGATATATAAAAAAATAAAGAGTGATATAATAACTTATAGTAACTTTTTAAACTAAAATAACTACTATCCAAACAAGACATAATTTGAGCAATCCCGCTAGGTAACTCGATTATTTCGAGGCTCGAGTGGCTCGACTTTCCTCTCTCCTTCTCCTCTTTCTCTCTTCTTCTTCTTCTTCTTCTTCTTTTTCTTTTCTTCACCAAGGCTCATCCTCCTGGGCGCTTCCGTGATCTTGTTTCCAAACTCAACTTGGTCGATGCCTACCCTCCTTGAGTTTGCGGGGGGCTGTTAACATATCATATAAAATACTATAGTTGTAGCTGTAAAGAGACCCACTTCTGTAAAGAGCACCACTACCACACTACCTTCAGCTGTAAAGAGAGCTAACCAGCTGTAAAGAGAGCCAACCCATGTGCTAACCCATGTGCATTGTCTCCCTCTCCTCTCTATAAAAAGAGAGAATTCATTCTCTTGTAAAAAAACATACAGATATACAATCACATTTCATTGCAGTCTCTCTCTTTTCTCTCTCTCATTACCAATTTAACATGGTATCAGAGCCCAGTAATACATTTCTGGCATTCTTCAATTTTGGTGCTTAGTCCCGTACACAGTGGACTACATCAAACAGCTCGGAATCTTTGCTTTGTAAATCTCTGCAGATTGGTGGAAGTTACATGATGGATTTTGGGGCTGTGGGTTTGGAGACCTTGGTGGTCTAGACAATGGAGTCTCTTCTTTCTCAGGTTGTTCCAAACTCTGATACGACAAAGCACCATAGCAATGGATTTGGGTTTCTCCAAAAACTGAGATCTGGGTCTGAAGAAGACGACTGAGAGAGAAACCGGAGGCAGAAAGAAGAAAGAAAGAAAAAAATACCCAAAACGACGTCGTTTTGAGTATTTGAGCCGTTGGAGCCGATGTAATTCGAGCTAGGAAACATTTCTCTAATTTGAGTTGTCTCTCAACTCAAGCCCTCTTTTTTCTAGCCAAATTAGATGTTCCATTGACAGCCCTAGTCTGGCTAAAGTATGGTAGCAAGCTGTGCAGAATGGCTAAAACATCGAAACCCACAAAAGGGAAGTACATTATCATCAACTTATTTGTTAATTTGGAGGAAATAATCATGTCTGCTAAAATAGCAACCTGCAACACACACACAAAGAAATAGTAAGCAAAAAAAAAAAAAAAAACTTAAGAGAGACTAGCGTGTCATCAAATCCAAATAGATCATCAGAGCTATAAATGGATTATAATCAACTTCTCAGATTATAATCCACTTTCTCTCTCACAAAAAAATTGCTTATAAGTAGTTTTTAATCCACTTCCTAAATTATAACACAGCTTATAAGCCCCTTTTGGAAGTGGGTTATAATCCACTTCCCAGATTATAACCCACTTCCTCTCTCACAAAAAAATTAGTTATAATCATCTTCTCAAAATAGCCCAAAATATGGCAGGGATAGAAGTGAAGAAAAGGGAAAGAAAATACCGTTGTAGTGAAAGCAGATAAGCCATAGACTAAGCATGTGGTATTGAACCACGACTTCCTTCGACAAATGCTATAGAGATTCAGAATTGATAGTGGCCACTGGATTAGAAGCTCAAGCCACATCAGACCAATGAAGAAAGGAGGCTTCTCGACAAACAAGTAATCGCCAAACTCACGGCTGTACCAGAGATAGAGATCCACAAGGAAGCCTGGGAAGAATTTGGAAGGTAGGCGTACTTGTGCATTCAAAACCGGAACTTCTATTGCAATCACTAAGAAGACGAAAAACAGAATTACTTCTATCAGGACCCCATCTCTCCCTCTCTCTGGGTTTTGTCTTTCAGTTTTGTGATCCAACGATGGATCTCTGTGACATACATGCATGTGCATATACATTTAAATAATGGAAAGGGGATCTTGGTATTGAAAGTCCCACAAAGTTTTTTTTTTATTGAAGAACTAAGTTCGGACAGTCTCCCGTCCAAATTTGAGAAAGGCCGGTCCAATTCAGCCTATTGGGCTTACTTTTGGACCCCTTTTCAATAATCAGAACCATTAACATTTTAGGATTTGTTGAGTACATTATTCCTGTAAAAAATCACGTCAATCGGATAACGGATACTATATATTTGGATCACTTTTGTCTGAAGAAAATAGACGATTAGAAAATTAATGATTCCTAAAAAAGTAATTTGAATACATAGTATCCGCTATCCGATCGACGTGATTTTTTACAGAAATAATGTACTCAACAAATCTTAAAATATACACGGTTTGAATTATCAAAAAAGAATTCAAAAATAAGGCCAATGAGCTGGACTGGACCCTCCAGTCTAGATGGTGGACTGGAGGCAAGCCCCAACCTATTTGGGTTCATGTTTAGAAGTGGTTTTGTTGCAGTAAAATTTTTGTTGTGCAATCTGAATGGTACAGGTAGTTTGACACAGTAATCTAGTCATTAGTACTACTGCAGCAACATTAAAAATAAAAAATTAAAACAAAAATGATTGTAGATCTCAACTATAACATAACTCATATTGCAGCTCTCATTTGATTAGTTTCACAAAATCATGAACTCCATAAATTTAGCACTTCAAAGATATCTCAACAATTTCACCTCACCAGAAATAGCATCATCAGAGCAGTTCAAATTAATCACACTATTCAAAAAAATAAAAATAAAAATAATCACACAACCATGATCTACCCCTTATAAGCTTATACGCTTCCAAAACAAACTCGTTTAAGCAAGCACAAAAAGCTTAAAGTTTGAACCTACTTGATGATTATTCCATTCAAACTATGCCCTAAAAAATACTTGTCAATTTAATAACAGCTCATCACAGACTGAAACAAAAACCAGCATTTTCTGATTTTTGTCTCATTGATTTCATAATGGCCAAAAAAAAATCTCATGTATAAACCATAAACTTGAGTATAGCGAACACAGGAAGAATATCAGCCAACTGCAAAAATCCAATGAAGAAGCCTCTGAAAATAAGAGAATAAAATACAAAATCTTAGACCCACAGTTAGAAGAATTCAAGCCCTTTTCTTCCTATTCAGTACAGGTCTTTTGCCAGCTGCTGTAGTCTTGCCAGAGTGTGTTAGGAGGCCTCGCAAAATTGCTAAAACAGCAAAACCCATGAAAGGGGAGTACATCATCAGCAGCTTATCTGATGCCTTGTTGGACCTCATCAATTCTGATAATATCGCAGCCTGAAATTACATAGAAAGTTAACACGATACTGGAGAGAGAGAGAGAGAGAGAAACACTGATTTCATCTACAATTTTTTTTACCCTAATCATTCTGTTCATGTAAGCTTGTTTACCTCATAATATGAGTTAAATACATTAAAATGTGGAGTGGAATTATGAGTATCGAAAGATATCAAAGTAATGCAGGGTTGGCTATCCCCTCTATCTCCACTTCTCAATTTTATGCATTTGCTTAAAAGGGAAATGATATGAGTAATTGGCATTACTCAAACTTCGCTTCAAATTTTAAGGCCATCCCTAAACTTCTAATTTTTCTATTTAATCTCACAAACTTTCATAAGTAAATCAATGCAGTTCTGGTTCAACTCATTAACACAAGCGAAAAAAATCTAAATGAAAGTAAGAAAATGTAAATTGGTTAAAATTATCTGCAATCACAAGAGAGTTATTTAGCTAATGTCTAATGAATGAATAAGAAATCATTTGAGAGAAATGAATTAATCAAGCAGCTGTCAACTTACATTTGTTACATCTTCAAATCTCAGTTATCAGAATCTTACGATTCGCGATTCAATTCACAATTTTTGTAAAATCGATACGAATCTATGGGTGAATCTCTCTGTTACTAGAATCTTACGATTCGCGATTCGATTCAAATTTTTTACAAAATCGATACGAATCTATGAGTGAATTTATTTTGGAAGTGAATCTCTAGTGAATCGCACGATTCACAATCGATTCACGATTCGATTCACTTTTTACGATTCATGCAATTTTTAAAATTATTGTATCCGACA